ATCCTAAACCCTAAACCTGACCCTGACCCCAACCTCACCCAGGGCACCGACGGAGCCCTGCGAGTCACCACGGTGAGACCCTGACCCTAAACCTGACCCTGACCCTGATCCTGACCCTGACTCTGACCCTGATCCATCCTGATTCCTCCAGCTGAGCCCTCACCTCAAATCCATCCTGATCCCCCTGCCCAGGGGCTGGAGCCCCCCAAACCCCCCATCCAGGGCCTGGAACCCCTCAATCCCCCCATCCAGGGCCTGGAACTCCCCAGTTCCCCATCCAGGGTCTGGAACCCCCCATCCAGGGCCTGGAGTCCCCTGAATTCCCCCCCGGGCAGGGCCTGGAGCTCCCCGAAGTGGGTCAGGGGAAGAAAGGGCCAATTGTGCTCCCGCCGGGAATGTCTCCCACAGGATCCGGGCACTGATCCAAAGTCAGGGGCCCCCCACGTGAGATTCCGGGCCTGTCCCAGAGCTCCCATCCCAGAGATCCCATCCCGGACATCCCATCCCGGAGATCCCATCCCAGAGCTCCCATCCCAGAGCTCCCATTCCGGCCCCATCTCAGAGCTCCCACCCCAGAGTTCCCACCCCAGAGTTCCCATCCCGGAGCTCCCATCCCAGAACTCCCATCCCGAAGCTCCCATCCTGGATCTCCCATCTCAGAGCTCCCATCCCGGAGCTCCCATCCCAGAGCTCCCATCCCAGAGCTCCCATCCCACAGCTCCCATCCCTGTGCTCCCATCCCAAAGCTCTAATCCCAGAGCTCCCATCCCACAGCTCCCATCCCAGATCTCCGATTCCAGAATTCCCATCCCACAGTTCCCATCCCGGACATCCCATCCCAGAGCTCCCATCCCACAGTTCCCATCCCGGACATCCCATCCCGGACATCCCATCCCAGAGCTCCCATCCCACAGTTCCCATCCCAGAACTCCCATCCCAGAGCTCCCATCCCACAGCTGTCATCCCGGAATTCCCATCCTGGAGTTCCCATCCCAGAGCTCCCATCCCTGTGCTCCCATCCCTGTGCTCCCATCCCAAAGCTCCAATCCCAGAGCTCCCATCCCACAGCTCCCATCCCAGACCTCTCATCCCAGAGCTCCCATCCTGTTTCTCCCATCCTGTTTCTCCCATCCCGTTTCTCCCATCCCAGAGCTCCCATCCCACAGCTCCCATTCCAGCGCTCCCATCCTGTATCTCCCATCCTGGAGGTCCCATCCCAGACCTCCCATCCCAGACCTCCCATCCCAGATCTCCCATCCCAGAGCTCCCATCCCAGAACTCCCATCCCGGAGCTCCCATTCCATCCCTCTCCCTCTCCCCAGGTTCTGTCCAAGGCCCCGAACCCCTCGGATCCCTCGGCCCCCCCGGACACTCAGGTGACCGTTCAGCTCTTCGACTCGGAGCCGCTGTCGCTGACGGTTCCGGGGCACATCCCATGGGATGATCCCAAATTCATGGAGATGGTGGCCGAGCAGGCACTCCGGCACTACAAGGAGAACGCCATGTGAGCCCGGGGAACCCCCTAAAAACCCCCAAAAAACGGGATTTAGGGGGTCACACCGGGCTCACCCCCTCCTGTCCTTCATCCCGCAGAGAGTAGCCGGGAGATCCCGCAGCTCCGCAGCCCTTCCAGCCCCATTCCAAGCGGGAATTGTCGCCGTTGCTGTGCCTTCCCCCCTCCCTCCCTCTCCCTCCTGCTGCCGGGAATCCCCTCCCGGGGGTCCCCAACCAGGCAATAAAGGTAGAGTTGGATCCTTGGATTTGTTTCCTTGAGTTTTTTTGGGGAAAAGAAGTGGGAAAAAGCAGCCTGGGGGCTGCACCTGGATGCTGGAAAATTGTTGGGATACAAGGATATGTACAAGGATACAGGGATATGGGACCCCCCCACACACACACAGGGGCCCAAAATAGAAAATAAGGTAGAGTTGGATCCTTGGATTTGTTTCCTTGAGGTTTTTTGGGGAAAATAAGTGGGAAAAGGCAACCTGGGGGCCGTACCTGGATACTGGGAAATTGGGGGGATACAAGGATATGTACAGGGATACAAGGATATGGGACCCCCACACACACCCAGAGGCCCCAAACAAGGTAGGGCTGAATCCTTGGATCTATTTTCCCGGGGTTTGGGGACATCCTAAACAAATAAGTGGGAAAAAGCAGCCTCGGGGTCATCCCAGGTACTGGAAAATTGGATGGTGATCCCAAGGGAACAATCCCAGGGATAAATCCTGCTGGGAACACCCTGGGGTCAGCCCCTGTCCCTGGATGCTGGAAAATTGGGGGGGATACAAGGATATGGGACCCCACACACACCCAGGGGCTCCAAATAAGGTAGGGTTGAATCCTTGGATCTATTTTCCTGGGGTTTGGGGACATCCTAAACAAATAAGTGGGAAAAAGCAGCCCCAGGGCCATCCCAGGTGTTGGAAAATTGGATGGTGATCCCAAGGGAACAATCCCGGGGATAAATCCTGCTGGGAACACCCCGAGGGGGGGCAGCCCCTGTCCCTCCCCATCCCTGCTGATCCCAAAATCCCACCAGGATCCCCCCACAGACACCCACAGAGTGATCCAGGGGCAGATCCACTTTATTGGGGGCATCAAGTTGGGGGTCCCAGCCCCCAAACCACCCCAATCCCAGCCCAGATCCCTTGGGAATGGGGCAGGAGCCTCCAATCCCCCCGGGAAGAGCCGTATCCCACCGGGAAGGACCGGCCCAGCCTCCCGATTCCCCCCGGGAGAGCCAAGGGAGTCATTCCCTGAAATCGGGACAGTCCAGCCCCCAATCCCCCCGGGACCGCCAATCCCAAGGAACATTCCTGGTCCAGCCCCGTCCCCCCGGGACCACCAATCCCAAGGAACGTTCCCGGTCCGGGGCTGCCAATCCCGAGGAACATTCCCGGTCCGGGGCCGGGCGAAAGGCGTCCAGGGGGTCGTCCAGGGATCCCCGAAGGTTCCCGCTCAGCTTTCCCGCCGGGATGAAGGACATGGGAACCAGGAGCAGGGACAGGAGCGCGAAACAGAAGAAACCTGGGAAATGTGGGAGGGGAAGGGGGGTTGGAGGCGGGATCGACCTCCCGGAGCTCTCCGGGGGGGATTTGGGAAGGTTTGGGAAGGTTTGGGAAGGGAAGGTTTGGGAAGGTTTGGGAAGGGAAGGTTTGG